CGTGGGTGAGCGCGCGTGGCAGCGGAGCACATCGGAGCAGGGCAGCGCGGCCTGCAAGCAGAGCAGACGAAAGGCAGAGCTGGTCCAACCTGGTCAGCTGAAAGCAGCTGTGTCACTGCTCGCTGCTAGGGCAGGGCTTCCCTCCGTGCAGCGCAGTCTGTATTTTACTGCGTCCCTGTAAAGGTGGTTCTGTTCCTAGCTGGGAATGTTTGGTCACACTGTGCGAGCACCAAAACAGCACCCCAGGCTGTCACACGGACATTGTAGCCAGGAGCCCAGTTTCTGTAGTGGGGCAGGTTTCCCCAGTCTGTGCCCTCTCCCTTGAGGGGTCTGTCTGTCGTGAATGTCCTGGATGCGATGCAGCTGCCTTCTGACGGCAGAACAACCGGGGTCGTTGCACGGTGCTGCTGCTGGCTTGAGGCAAGGTCTCAGAAATGACTTTGGTGGCTGGGAGGTGATCGTAGAGGAACACGAATGTCCTTTGAGACTGGTGACTCTTGGTGCCAACTGGAACTGCCCGCGTGGCTCATGTGGCTTGTAGCAAAGCAGTGGGGACTATCTGCCATCTTCTCCAGCGTGAGCTGTGATCTGGTTCCTGGCTGAGTTCACAATGTGAAACGAGGCTTTTTCTGTAAACCAGATTAGCTGATTTGCCGCTGTGATCTGCTGACAAAACCACCTTATCACCTTGGTCCTAGGAGGCCTTTTCCTTCTGTTCCTTAACCAGAAGCAGCAGTTGGGACAGTGTTTTTGTACATGGCAGTTGACCCGTGGGACCTGGGCCTCCCACCGGGACCGCTGTGGGCCCGGGAGGCTCCTCGCACCCCATTGTAGCCCAGCAGAGGACGGTCCTGCTGGCACGTGAGTAACCGGCTCTTCAGGTGGAGAGAGCCCCACGTGAAGCACCAGCCCCATGGAGGCTGCTCGGAGCGAGAGCACGGCGGTACCTCAGCACCCGACCTCCCCATCCAGGCAATGGATAAGGGCCATATAGTTAGCTCTGCTGGTTCAGCTCAAACACTTTCAGACCTTAATAAAGGAGGATGTCTCCTCTTTATACTGAGCTGCTGAGCCATGCCCTCCTGCTTTGTTCTGCTGCAGTTTGGCTATTTATACTCAAAATAATCATTGCATTGTCCTAATGTCTGACTCCTGGTCTGGGATCAGGAGCCCTTTGTGGTGCTGCTTGAACCACAAGGCAGTCCCTGCTGCAGAGGATAAATGCTCAAGTAATTTGGGGGACAAAAGCC